AGTCCTGGACCTGGAGATTTGAAAAATATATGCTGGTGCATGTTCATGTGTGTCCAAAATCCCAAGAGGAGAATGGAGGAGAAGGGATTGTGGCATGGCCATCCTCCTTTGGGGGTGATATCTCACCTCTCTCTCTGTCTCTGGGGAGTACATGCATCCTATGGCAAAACAAACATACAAGTATTTGCAAATCACTGACACAGTTGATATGAGATAGTTAAGATACATTTTTAAAATCATTTTTAAAAATTTTTAACTTTTTATTTATTTATTTATTTTATTTTGACCAGAGAGGGAGGGAAAGCCACCAGGTCCAGGACTTGAACCTTGGTTGGCCATGTGGGAGTCCAGCACCCTTAGCTGCCATGCCACCTGCTGGCCCCTTGTGATACATTTTTATGTGTCTTATCTATTTGGGAATAATCTGGTGTCTACCCTCTTAAACACCAACTACCAAATACTGGAATATGGCTATCAATTTAGTATTCAGAAAATCAAGGAAGGTACTTATTGACGCTTACCTCAACACAGACTTTTTCCTCACAGTTACTATCACTAAATTGTTTCTCTTGGAAAGTAAAAGGACTACATATTTCCCAATGAAAATAAAACATTTTCTAGTGTAAATACTGCTCAGTGTTCCAATCTAGGAATGGGAAATGGAATAACCTTTGGGAAGGAATCTGAAATATGTCCTTTTTTTTTTTTTTTGAGAGGGTTTTGCTATAGGGCGCGTGCGCTTGCCAGACAGAGAGACCATAGAGACAGAAAGCGAGAAATCACCCCCCCAGGGGGGATGGTCACGCCGCAATCCCTTCTCCTCCATTCTCCTCTCGGGATCTTGTGCACGCACGCACATGCGCCCGGCGTGAGTTTTAAGCCATCGGGTCCAGGACGCGAACCATTGTTGACTACGTGGGAGTCCAGCGACATAGCCATTACGTTAACTGCTGGTTCCCAAATATGTCCTTTTTTTGTGAATGGGGAGAAGCATTATAGAGTATGGGTATGTTGTTTAACAGCCAACATGTTTATTCCTTTGCCTTTTTTATTGTTTCATTTTCCTATACAGGGTATGTGTATTTGCATGAGAAAGAGAGGGGGGAAATGAGAAAGCACCACCCCCCATCCCCACAGGGGGAATGACCACACCACAATCTCTTTAAGCCACCAGGTCCGGGACTCGAACCACAGTAGACTACATGGGAGTCCAGTGACATAGTCATTATGCCAACTGTTGGTTCCCCTTTTCCATTCTTGTCTCGGGATTTTGGGTGCCCATTCACTTGCACCTAGTGTGTTTTTCTTTTTTTTCAATTTTGTTGTTGTTGTTGCACCTGGTGTGTTTTTCAAGCTGCAGGATCTGGGATTTGAACCTCACAGTCGGCCATGTGGGATCCAGGTGCCTTAATCACCATCTAAGCACCACATAATCAGGTGCTGGCCCAATATGTATATACTTTAATATTTAGAGTTCATGTTAATAGTTAAAATACATTATCTCCTGTTCTGTTGATATATTTTCACTTCTTTGATGTTCTCATTTGCACCACAAGTTCTTTTCCTTTTTTTAATTGCCAGAGGTGTGTGTACTGAACAGAGACACCGAGGGAGAAAGCACCTCCCCTAGTGGGGTGTAGTCATACCACCATCCCATCTCCATTTCTCCACCCTGTCAGGATTTAAGAGCTTATAGTTTTATTACATTTTAAATTTATGATCCTCTTTTTAAAAAGTCTTGGGAACCAGCAGTTAGCGAAATGGCTATGTCGCTGGACTCCCACGTAGTCGACCGTGATTCACGTCCTGGACCTGGTGGCTTAAAACTCACGCTGGGCGCATGTGCGTGCGTGCCCAAGATCCTGGGAGAAGAGACTGCAGCGTGACCATCCCCCCTGAGGGGTGATTTCTTGCTTTCTATCTCTATGTCTCTGTCTGTCTGGTGAGTGCACGCACCCTATAGCAAAAAAAACTCTCCCCCCCCCAAAAAAAAAGTCTTTACTGGGACTAGCAGTTAGTGTAATGCCTATGTCGCTGGACTACCATGTAGTCAACTGCGGTTCAAGTCCCAGACCCAGTGGCTTAAAATCACACCAAGCACATGTGCATGTGTGGTCAAGATCCCGAGAGGAGACTGGAGGAGAAGGGATTGCGGCGTGGCCATCCTCCCTGGGGAGTGATTTCTCTCTTTCTGGCGAACACATGCACCCTATAGCAAAAACCCTCAAAAAAAAAAAGTCTTATTTATTACTATCTTTTTTAGTTTTTACTATAGGGCACATGCTCATCAAAGAAAGGGAAAGTGAGAAGGCACTCCCCAAGGGGTATGGTCATGCCACAGTCCCTTCTCCCTCTGTCTTCTCTCAAGATACTTTTTTAAGAGAGATTTTTGTTATAGAGCAGATGCGCTCACCAGAAAGACAGAGACAGAAAGTGGGAAATCACCCACCAAGGAGGGATGGCCATGCCACAATACCTTCTCCTCCTGGAATCTTGGCATACACATGCACCTAGTGTGAGTTTCAAGCCACCAGGTCCGGGACTTGAACCACAGTTGGCCACGTGGGAGTCCAATGACTTAACTGCTATGCAATCTGCTGGCCCCTTTTCTTGGGATTTTGAGCATACATGCACGTACATGTACCTGCATGATTTTCAAGCCATAGGGTCTGGGACTCAGAACTGTACACCTGGCCTGGTGGGATCCAGCATCTTCAGCACCATGCCACCTGCTGGCCTGATTCTACTTATTTATGATAGTGTTTGCATAGGCTTGAGGGATGGAGGTGCGTTTACATACGTGCGTGTGTGTATGCAGGCAGATCCTTGACAGGGTCTTACTGCGCAGTTTCCTTTCCCCAGCCCTTCAGCTCATTACTCATCATACTTTTAAGACAGCTGAAGATTCAAACCCACTCACCCATGTGGTTTCCAGCATTGCAGTTAAGTTTGCCACCAGCTGTACCACCAGGTTGGGCCATGATCCATCTATTTTTCTATTTCTTTTTCTTTTTTTTTTTTTTTTTTTTTTTTGAGAGATTTTTCACTGTAGGGCGCGTGCGCTCGCCAGACAGACAGAGAGAGACATAGAGACAGAAAGCGAGAAATCACCCCCCAGGGGGGATGGTCACGCCGCAATCCCTTCTCCTCCATTCTCCTCTCGGGATCTTGGGCACGCACGCACACGCGCCCGGCGTGAGTTTTAAGCCACCGGGTCCGGGACACGAACCGCGGTCGACTACGTGGGAGTCCAGCGACATAGCCATTACGCTAACTGCTGGTTCCCTCTATTTATTTTTCTAGAGGGCACCTGAATTTGCCAGAGAGAGAAGATGAGACAGGGAGAGGGGAAAGTGCCCCCACCATGGGAAATGGTTATGCTGAAGCTGCGTTCCCTTCTCTATCTCCTTTTTGCATTTCGGGCACTCATATATGTGCCAAGTGTCTTTCTCAAGCTGTTGGGTCTAGGACTTGAGCTGCATGGTCGGCCATGAAGAATCTGGCTGCCTTTACTACCAGCCCATGGAGCTGACCTAATCCTTTTATTTTTTATTTATTTTTTTACCATGAGTGAGAGAGACAGGCAGGCAGGCAGGCAGGCAGGCAGGCATCCTCTACAGGGACCTCACACTGTGATCCACTCCCAGCCTAAGCCAACTAGGAACTCAAACAACTCTGGATGTGAACAAATCCAGGCCTCAGTGAACAGAGCCTTGTTCACCGGTGTGCCACTGCAGCTGAGCTGTGGTCCCCTCAGTTCTTGTGCGTTGTATAAGAGAAGGGGACAACTTCATTCTTCAGTATGTTTGGTAATCAGTTGTTCCAGCACCATTTGTTAAGATTATTCTTTCCTCACCTAACTATATTGGTACTCTTGTAATCTTGATTTTTATATACTGTTACAGCTTTGCAAAAATTCATTGCAGAATTACTTGGAGAAAGTTGATTTGTCTGAAAGGACTGTGAATATGAATTTCATGGCTTTAGGGTACCTCCAAAGTTTTTTTACTTGTTTGTTTGTTTGTTTAAGAAAGATATTTGCTGTAGGGTGTGTGCTCTGGCCAGAGAGACAGAAATACAGAAATCAAGAAACCACCCCTCAGGGGGGATGGCCACACTGCAGTCCCTTCTTCAGTTTCCGCCTGGGAGTCCAGTGACCTTTACACCATCTGCTGTTCTCCAAAATGTATTTCTTTTTGGCAGATGTAATTTTATATGAAGTTTCACCTGGGTGATGGTGATGAGGAAGTCTGCTTTATAATTTTTCATTAAACTATTCAGTTAAAAGAATTTATGTTAGAGCTCTGTCTAAACAGAAATAACATTTTTAAAAATTATCTAAATTTATTGATTATTACTATTTTTTAAAAAAAATTTGTCTAGAGAGAGAGCAAGCAAGGCACCATGTCCAGGACTTGGACTGCAGTTGACCACATGGGTGGGAATCCAGTGCCTTTAACCACCACGCCACCTGCCGGCCTGGAAGTAATATTTAAGTACAAAAGAATGTGGAGCTTTGGGACCAGCCGTTAGCGTAAGGGCTGTGTCACTGAACTCCCATGTAATGGACCGCGGTTTGAGTCCCGGACCTGGTGGCATGAACTCATGCCGGGCGCGTGTGCGTGCGTGCCCAAGATCCCGAGAAGAGAACAGAGGAGAAGGGATTGCGGCGTGGCCATCCTCCCTGGGGGATGATTTCTCGCTTTCTATCTCTCTGTCTTTCTCTTTCTGGCGAGCGCATGCGCCCTATAGCAGAAACCTCTAAAAAAAAGAAAGAACGTGGAGCTTTTAGATTTGTTTCTGCATACATTCTCAAATTGTTGTGACAGGGTATTTTGTAAATTTACTGTCAGATATACTCTTTTCCTGTAGTAGATGAATATTTGATAAAGTCTCTAGTGGGGGAACATTATGGTTTTGAGAAGAAAATTAATGTGTTAATCGGTGTTTAATTACATTTGCTGAAATATTATGTACTTCTCTCAGTTTCTGATTTTTTGCTTTTTTTTTTCTTTTATAGCAAAATATCCAGAGATAAAGTCTTTGATGAAACCTGATCCCAACTTGATATGGATTGTAATTATGATGGTTCTCACCCAGTTGGTTGCATTTTACTTAGTAAAAGACTTGGACTGGAAATGGGTCATATTTTGGGCCTATACCTTTGGCAGCTGCATTAATCACTCCATGACTCTGGCTATTCACGAGATTTCCCACAATAGTGCCTTTGGCAACTACAGAGCCATGTGGAATCGCTGGTTCGGAATGTTTGCTAATCTTCCTATTGGGATTCCATATTCAATTTCCTTTAAGAGGTATCACATGGATCATCATCGATACCTCGGAGCTGATGGCATCGATGTGGATATTCCTACCAGCTTTGAGGGCTGGTTCTTCTGTACTGCGTTCAGAAAATTGATTTGGGTTATTCTCCAGCCTTTGTTTTATGCATTTCGGCCTCTGTTTATCAACCCCAAACCAGTTTCTTACCTGGAAATGATCAATACCATGACTCAGATCGTTTTTGACATTATAATTTACTACTTTTTGGGAATTAAATCTTTAGTCTACATGTTGACAGCATCCTTACTTGGTCTGGGTTTTCACCCAATTTCTGGACATTTTATAGCTGAACATTACATGTTCTTAAAGGGACATGAAACTTACTCATATTATGGGCCTCTGAATTTACTTACCTTCAACGTAGGTTACCACAATGAACATCATGACTTCCCCAACATTCCTGGAAAAAATCTTCCACTGGTAAGTAAAGGATTTAATATTCTAATTTTTTTTTTTTAAAGAATTAAGTTATTCTGGGGCTGGCAGGTGGCATGGCGGTTAAGGGTGCTGGGCACCCACATGGCCGATCATGGTTTAAGTCCCGAACCTGGTGGCTTGCTTTCTCACTTTCTCTCTCTCTCTCTCTGTCCCTCTCTTTTAAAATAAAATAAATAAATAAGTAAGTAAGTAAAGTTAAATGAAATAGTTATTTTTGGAAAAGAATTATGTTATTTTATTTATTCATTCATTTATTTAATTTGACCAGAAAAAGAGAGAGAGAGAGGAAAATTGAGAAAGCAAGCCATCACATCCGGGACTTGAACCGTGGTCATCATGTGGGAGTGTCCAGCACCTTAACCACCACTCCACCTGCTGGCCCCAATATTCTAATTTCTAATGTTTATATAATCATTAATCTTGACTTGTTCATTTTAAAAGGCATCTAATTTAATTTAGGCTACTCATACAAAAAAAAAAAGAATATTAATCTTTTATCTGCATCTGCCAGTTTAATTTTGCAAAGGGAAAATCTTCTTTGCCTTAACCACTATGCCACCTGGCTTTGTAGTATCTTCATTTAAAAAAAATTTTTTTTTAAATTTTAGTTTTTGCTTGTTTTTACTGAGCTTTCCTGTTCACAAAACACTTTTTTTTTTTTTTTTTTTGGAGAGTTTTTTTGCAATAGGGCACGTGTGCTTGCCAGAAAGAGAGAGACAGAGAGACAGAAAGAAAGCAAGAAATCACACACTGAGGTGTATGGTCACACCACCGTCCCTTCTCCTCCATTTGCCTCTCGGGATCTTGGGCACGGACGCACACACACCCAGTGTGAGTTTAAGCCACCGGGTCTGGGACTCCAACTGTGGTTGACTACATGGGAGTCCAGCGACATAGCCATTTCGACAACTGCTGGTCTCTACAAAACACTTTTTAAAGTATGTATGTTTGGGTCAGCAGGTGGCATGGTGGTTAAGGCGCTGGACACTCCCACATGGCCCACCATGGTTCGAGCCCTGGACCTGGTGGCTTGCTTCCTCACTTTCCTTCTCTTTGTGTGTCTGTCTTTATCTGGTCAAATGAAAATAAATGAATGAGTAAATAAAAGTAAAGTAATTCTTTTAAAAAATTTATGTATTTTTCCATTTAGGTATAACCTTGTAAAATACATAGACAGACATGAGAGATTTATTGTGTCAGTGTTTGAACTGAACTACATACACAGATAACAAATTCCATAGGTTTAGTAACTCCTAGTATTGAGACATTTTTTTAAAAAAATAATGATTTATTTAATTTTATTATTTTTATTATTTATTTTTATTTAGAGAGAGATTTTCGTTATAGGGTGCGTGTGCTCACCAGAGACAAAGAGAGACAGAAAGCGAGAAATCACCCCCAGGGGGATGGCCACACTGCAATCCCTTCTCTTCTCTTTTCCTCTTGGGACTTTGGGGATGCGTGCACACATGCCTGGCGTGTGTTTAAGCTGCTGGGTCCAGGACTTGAACCGTGGTCGACTATGTGGGAGTCCAGCTATGTCACCTGCTGGTCCTTTATTGTTATTTTTTAATTTGACCAGAGAGAGACAGAGGGAAAGTAAGAAAGCAAGCCACCGGTCCAGGACTCAAACCACAATAAGCCATGTAGGAGCCCAGCACATCAACCACCATGCTACCTGTAGACCTGGTCTTGTATTTGGTCTTAATTTTACAAATAAATCAGATATTTGCAAATAAATAGAGTACCAATAAACCACAACTTGATAGGAGAGTTAGTAATCCTAGAGGGTCAAGTGTATTCAGCTATTGAAATACAAATAAATGGGGACCAGCAGTTGGCGTAATGGCTGTTGCTGGACTCCCATTTAGCTGACCGCGGTTCGAGTCCTGGACCCGGTAGCTTAAACTCATGCTGGGCATATGTGCGTGTGTGCCCACATGCCAGGCGCATGTGTGTGCATGCCCAAGATCCCGAGGGGAGAACAGAGGAGAAGGGATTGCGGTGTGGCCATCCCCCCATGGGGTGGTTTCTTGCTTTCTATCTCTCTGTCTCTCTCTGTCTTTCTGGTGAGCACATGCACCCTGTAGCAAAATCTTCTCAAAAAAAAAATACAAATAAACATCTGTAGAGTTCCTGAAGCAGCTCCTGCTCCCCTAGAAAAGGGAGAAAATGAGACTATGGGTTCCCTCTGGGAGAAAATGAGACTATGTGTTCCCTCCTCAGTGTTCGTATCAGGCATTCATGTGTGGTCTTTGACAGAACCCAGTAACACGAGTTAGTCATCTTGCTGTATGCTTTCCTTTCTAGGTGAGGAAAATAGCAGCTGAATACTATGACAACCTTCCCCACTACAATTCCTGGATAAGAGTACTGTACGATTTTGTGATGGATGATACAATAAGTCCCTACTCAAGAGTGAAGAGGCCTCCAAAAGGGGTGGAAATTCTGGATTAAATATCATCACAGCCAGCGGAACTTTACCCTGAAACTTTAAAGTAACTGATAAAGTGTAATTTTTACATTATTAAGCTTAAGACCAGTAATGCTCTGTAAGGTACCCTCGTACCATTTCAGAGGAGGATCTCCATGGTATCAAGAAGCTAATCTGGCTTTACCGTGTCAGCCTGTGTGTAGTGCTTCGCTTTATTCACAGGGAAGGAACTTGTTCATTGTGTTACTGTCGCTCAGGATTTTTTTTTTTTTATAAGTCCACATCTGTCATTGTGTAAGCATATAAAACAACCTTTTGAAAAACTATTTCTAGGTGGTATTGTGGTTAAGGTGCTGAACTCTCACATGGCTGACTGCGATTTGAGTCCTTGAACTGGTGGCTTGCTTTCTCACTCACCCTTTCTCTCTCTCTCTCTCTCTGGTCAAATTGAATAATAATATAATTAATAAATAATTCTTTTTAAAAAAAGCTATTTCTAGGGCCCAGCAGATAATGACATAGTGGTTACATCGCTGGACTCCCACATGGCCAACTATGGCTTGAGTCCCAGACCCAGTGGCTTGAAACCCACGCTGGGCTGCGTGTGTGTGTCCAAGATCCCAGGAGGACAATGGAAGAGAAGGGATTGTGGTGTGGCCATTCTTTCTGGGGAGTGATTTCTCACTTTCCCTTTTACTGTCTCTGTCTGTCTCCAGCAAGCACATGTGCCCTAAGGCAAAAACTTCCCCAAAAAGCTATTTCTAGTATATTATTTTCACTATAAAATTGTACTTTATTAAAACAGCTAATAAAATGGAGGTATTAATCCAATATATTAATATTTGTTTCATTTTTGTATTTTATTGTCTTTGCACTATTTAATATGATAACTTGGATACCAGGGGGCCAGCAGGTAGCATGGCGGTTGGGGCACTGGACTTTCACATGGGTGGCCACAGTTCAAGTCCTGGATCTGGTAGCCTGAAGCTCAGTCAAACGTGTGTATAAGTGCCCGTACCCGAGAGGAGAATGGGGAAGGGAATGCATGGGCCTGTCCCCTGGGGGTTGATTTCTTACTTTCTCTCTCTTCCCGACTGTCTTTCCAGAGAATGCACATGCCCTATAGCAAAAACCTGTAAAAAAGGAAAAAAAGCCTGAGTTAACGTAGTATAGTATTGATATATAAGGTTGAGATAAAAGGGGTTTTTTTTGGGGGGAGAGGTTTTTCATATAGGGCGCGTGCACTCGCCAGACAGAGACAGAAAGCAAGACATCACCCCATGGGGGGATGGCCATGCCACAATCCCTTCTCCTCCATTCTCTTCTCAGGATCTTGGGCTGCACACACATGTCCCAGGGTGAGTTTAAGCCACCGGTCTGGGACTCGAACCGTGGTCGACTACATGGGAGTCCAGTGACATAGCCATTATGCTAACTGCTGGTCCCAAGATAAAAGATTTTTTTTAAGTTTATTTTTTCTGTAAGAGAGTCACCTCCAACAGGGTCTCCACACCACAGCCCCCCGTAGCCAGCCCAGATTACACACGGGCACACCTGGCATGTACAGGTCCCCGGAACTCAAACCCATGTCCCACCAGTTGTGTTACCACCATACCTCTATCCAGACCAAATGGAAGTATTTTGCTGTGAGCTCAATTACTCATTTTAAATTTGTACTATTATATATTGGACCTAAATTAGACACTGCTAAGTCCTCTATAGCCTTATTCATAAAGTACTTACTGAATTTAATCATATCTAACATTCATCTTCCTTTTGCAGATTCTCACATTTAAAACAGCTCACCTGATAAGGGGTTTCCTGTTACTCCACTGCAGTGGAAGTTGGTTGTGGTCTGATGGCAGTCGGTCAGTCTCCAGTAGCTGTTATCATAGGCGGCTGGGCCAGCAGTCCTGGTTATCTCAAAAATGTGACTGGGGTAAATATAGTGTAATATGGTGTGCTATTTAAAAAGTACATTAGCTATATTGCAGTTTCAAAAAGTGAAAAGTAACACCGAGATTGCTGAACAGACTCCTCTATGGGACTGGCAGACTGGCTTACAGACCTAGTTTCATCCCCAAAGTACTTCGCTTTTCTGTCCTGACGCTCTTGTCTAGGAAAACTTCTAGTATCCTTGACTCTGTTACTTAAATAACCATTGACTTAAAGTTTAGAGTGAAAGAAACAACTTTACAATTCAGTTTTTTGTTTGTTTGTTTGTTTGTTTTGAGGTTTTTGCTATACAGCCTGTGCACTCGCCAGAAAGAGAGAGACAGAAAGCAAGAAATCCCCAGGGGGGATGGCCACACCACAGCCCCTTCTCCATTCTCCTCTCGGGATCTTGGGCACACATGCACACGTGCTTGGCGTGAGTTTAAGCCACTGGGTCCAGGATTTAAACTGTGGTCGACTACATGGGAGTCCAGCAATGTAGCTATTACGCCAACTGCTGGTCCCCTTACAATTCAGTTTTAAAAAGCATTTGTAAAACGCACCTATGTATTTGATGCCGATCTCCAGTCAGCTCAGACTAATTTTTTTTTTTTTTTTTTGGAGAGGTTTTTCCCTATAGGGCGCACGCGCTTGCCAGACAGAGACAAAGAGACAGAAAGCGAGAAATCACCCCGCAGGGGGAATGGTCATGCCGCGATCCCTTCTCTTCCATTCTCCTCTCGGGATCTTGGGCACACACGCACACGCGCCCGGCATGAGTTTTAAGCCACCGGGTCCAGGACGCGAACTGCGGTCGACTACGTGGGAGTACAACGACATAGCCATTACGCTAACTGCTGGTCCCAAGTCAGCTCAGACTTCTGAGCTCCACTCCCTGCTGAATATGGAAGAGTGTATTATCTGTCCCCGAAATTACTGCCTCCTGTTACACTATCATGTCCTGCCTGAATGGAGGTTTCATCTTAGCAGGTCTCTGAATTAGTCTGGTTCCCACCTGCCAACTCAACCCATTCTCTTCTTTTTCTCTTCTTTTTTTAGAATTATTTAGTTTTATTATTATTTTAATTTGACCAGAGAGAGAGAAAGTGAAAAAGCAAGCTACCAGGTCTGGGACTCAACTGGGATCCTCCATGTGGGAATCCAGCACTTTAACCACCTTGATACTTGCTGGCCCCCTCATTCCATTCTTTAAAGAGCTCTAATTAGGATAGTTGGCAGGTTGTCTCCCAGAACCTTTAAAGAATAGGTCTTAAATAGTTCTGGGGCCAGCAGGAGGTGTGGAGGTTAAGGCAGGTAGATCCCACATGGCTGACTGTGCAGCTGGAAAACCTGCAAGGTGTATATGCATGTGTTCCCTAAATCCTGAAAGGGGAATGGAGAAGGAATTGCAGTGTAGCCATCCCTCTGGGAGGTAATGTCTCACTTTCTCAGTGCTCTCCTCTCCACCCCATGAGCACGTGTCCTATACCTAAAAACAAATATTCTGGAGCCAGCCAGTAGCGAGGTAGTTAAGGAAGTGGTTCAAGTCCTGGACCCAGTGACTTGAAAAAAACACCAGGTGGGCCAGCAGGTGGCGTGGTGGTTAAGGTGCTGGATCGAGTCCTAGACCTGGTGGCTTGCTTTCTCACTTTCCAGCTCTCTCTCTTGCTGTGTCTGGTAAGTGTACATGCCCTAAAACAAATTTTTAAAATGATAATAAAATAATTCTAAGAAAAAAAAAACAGAAACAGGGGCCAGCAGATGCCATGGAGGTTGGGGCACTGGACTCCCACATGGCTGACCACAGTTCAAATCTTGGACTGGTGGCTTGTTTTCTCACTTTCTCTCTCTCTCGCTCTCTGATGAGTGTCTGTATCAAATTAAAAAATAATAATGATAAAATGAAAGAATAAAAATTAAAAATTAAAAGAAAGAAAAGAAAATACCAAGTATGTGTGTTCCCAAAATCCCAAAAGGAGGCAGAGGTGGAGGAGAAGGGATTACAGTGTGACCATTCTCCATGAGAGTGCTGCCTCATTTTACCACCACCACCCTTCAAACCCCTCCCAAACCCCCTCCCAACCCTCCCATCTACCACTCCTTCAGAAGTGCATGTACTTGCTGGCAAAAATTTTTAAAAAAATCATTTGTGGCTTTGCATGAGTTCTTTCTGGTCTGGTTAGCCTTAAGGCTCACGTCAGCCTTCCTGCATTCACCCCAAGTCCCCAGTAGGTCAGGTGCCATTTTCTGGATTCTCAGAACCAGTGATTACTTTGTGCATGGCCTTAACTTTACCGTTTTGTAAACAGGTACTGTTTGTTTTTCCCTGAGGCACTAAGTCCTTAAGGGCAGAATATCTTTTATTTATTCCTTAGCAGAGCCAGTGTAACTTGTTGGGTGCTCAATAAGTGAGCAGAGAGTGTTCTCAAGAAGATTTACCTAAGCACAGCCAAAGACTGGGCATTTGTGTGACTCAAGGTGAGTGCAGTTTACTGAAAACAATGAGCCTTTACTGAGAAGCCTTCCTAGGAGCCCTGTTCGAGTATCTTCCGTGCGTTGTCTAAGTCTCAACACCTCTGTGATGTAGGTAGTACTATGCACATCATTTCGTAGGTGAGAAAACTCAGGCTTAAAAATTTACGTAAATGGGGGACCAGCGGTTGGCATAATGGCTATGTCGCTGGACTCCCATGTAGCCGACTACAGTTCGAGTCCTAGACCGGGCGGCTTAAACTCACGCCAGGCACGTGTGCGTGTGTGTCTCCAAGATCCCGAGAGGAGAATGGAGGAGAAGGGATTGCGGCGTGACCATCCCCACTGGGGGGTGATTTCTCATTTTCTGTATCTCTGTCTGTCTCTGTCTGGTGAGCACATGCGCCCTGTGGCGAAGACCTCTCAAAAAAAAAAAAAAGTTACATAAGTGACTCAAGGTCACACTTAAATTAACCTCTCAAAAAAAAAAAAAAGTTACATAAGTGACTCAAGGTCACACTTAAATTACAGAAAACAGAATCTGAAATTCAAACTGTGATTCCAGAACCCCAATTTTTTGTCCTCTGAAAGCTTATGCACAAGATAGACCCACACACAGAGAGAGGCTCCCTTGAAGGTCTTGTCATGCCATCGTCCACCTTTCCCTAGCTTTCCAGCTTCCCAGGATCCCAGGCGCTTGACCAGCACGTTTCCAGGTCAACGAGGTGATCCGAACCTGTGATCAGCATCTGGCTTCCAGCCTTGCAGGGT